CCTGTATGCTCAGGAGTCCTTATCCGTAACATAGGTAGACATACTCCTGTAAGCCCCAAAGGTATTAACAATCACATAGATAGGCATACTCCATTAAGGTTAGGAGTCCTTATCTGTAACATAGGTAGACATACTCCTGTAAGCCCAGGAGTCCTTATCTGTACCATATGTTGACATACTCCTGTAAGCCCAGTACTCCTTATCTGTAACATAGGTAGACATACTCCTGTAAGCCCAGGAGTCCTCATCTGTAACATAGGTAGACATACCAGTACTTAGTAAAGCCAGGAGTCCATATCAGGATCATAGGTAAATATGCTCTTGTAAACTCAAGAGTATTTATCAGTATTAGGTATGCATACACTTCAGTTTTTATTCCAGCAGTCCTTATCAGTATAATAGGTATGCCCAGGAATTCTTATCCTCTCAGAAGGAACACAAAATGAGAAAGAGAGAGATATTTTATTTAATTTAGAAAATTGAATTCACGCTATGTGAATTTTTGGTTTTATATTTCAGTTCTGTTCAGCAGTTATCACTGAAAACATGCAGTTTGTAGTTCATAACATGAAGTTCCTTGGCCACAATTCTCACCAAAGTCACCTTCAACTTGCTCATATTGAAAAGATTGTTAAAAAGATTTTTTTCCTGTGAATTTCTATATAAAACTTGACCCTGTATTATACCCCCATCCAAGCCCCAGTTTGCAACCTGATTGAATTTTCTTTTACTTTCAGACCTGTGCTATTCATATACTGAAGAATATCTCCAGTTACTTCCCTTTCATCAGCTGCATTGAACATGATCAGTTTGGAACACCAAAATTGTCAGCAAACAAAGTTAGTATAGTAAAGATTACTACAGAAGAAACTGTCAATATCATGGAGTGTGATAGTACATTTTAATGCCCTGCATTAGTTTTACTTTAGGTATTGATAAATTCAAGCATTTGCTCTCAGAAGAGATTAATTTTGCTGATTTACAAGATGTTATAAATGTCTACCTTATTTTTTATTTGACCAGTGTGCCAAGAGTCAAGGTATCGACCTGAAGCCTATTTTGGAGTGCTCCACCAGAAAACTGGGAAATAGCCTGGAACATGAAATGGCTCTGAAGACAAATGCACTCAACCCACCCCATAAATATGTCCCTTGGGTCACCTTGAATGGGGTAAGCATCAAGCCAAACATGTGTTATATCCCTAAATGATTTCATTATTGTGAATTCTCACTTCATTTTCCTTCAAATATGTTCTTTGAATCTTTTCCAGGTTCACACAGAAGATATAGAGAAGAAAGCAGAGGCAGATCTGACTAAGCTTATATGTGATACTTACAAGGTTTCCACTTTTTAGCTCATCTGATCTGAAAGCTTGGTTGAGCTTTTCTGTTCACCTGTTGTCCATTGTCCATTGATCTGTCCATCCATCCATAAATTTTTCAAATTTTCAACTTCTTCTCAAGAACCATTGGGTCAGAAAAGCTGAAGTCAAAGCTTTCTGAGGTTTAATAGATTCTAAATTGTTCAAATCATGGCCCCTCGATATACATGTAGGGTGAGGTTACAATAAGGAATCAGATTTATAGAAAAAAATCTTTAAAAATCATCTTCTCAAGAGGCACTATGCCAGAAAAGTTGGAAATTCTATAAATTAAAGCTTTCTGAAGTGGTATAGATGCTAAATTGTTCAAATCATGACCCTGTGGGGTAGGGTTAGGCCACAACAGGGAATCAAAATTAAAATTATATACTGAAAAATATAGGAAAATCTGTTTTTAAAAAATCTTCTCAAGAACCACTGGGCCAGAAAAGCCTAAATTTATGTTGAAGCTTCCTGAGGTAGTGTAGATCCCAGTGTCTGGCCACAATAGGGAATCAAAATAATATTAAAGGTGGAAAATGTGATGAAAAACTGCAGAGCTAAAGCGACTCAGGTGAGCATTGAAGCTTATGGGGCTCTTATTTTCCCACTTACACGAGAGCAGCTGGTGATTTCTTATTTTTTACATTTTCAACATTTCATTTTAAAAGTAATGAATATAAGACAGAGAAACAAGATGTGAAGGCAAAAATGACTTCTTCATGAGCGACAGGACTTACAGTAAAATGTGAATGATGGCTGCTTTACAAGAACTCTGTTTATTTTTATTTACAGGGGTCTCCCAAACCTGCTGCCTGCAACAAAATATCTGACTTTCATCATTCCTGGAGAGAGTTTTAAAGACGGGGGAGTTGAAATTTCTCTGTAGTCACCGAATATCTGATATTATACAAAATGTCTATCTTTTTTCTGTGATATTGATATGAATTTTTAAGTCATTTATTGTATGATTTTTCTTTGATTGCTATAAATGATCCTGATTTACATATAACCAATATATATGTATTAAGTGCATGCATGGTTGTAATATTTGTCAAAATTTAGATTTTGTGCAGAATGTTTTTGTTACTTTTAGAAAAAAAAAAATCAAAAGCTTTTTTAATTTTGTTATTTAAAATAACGAGTTTCCTTTTACTTTTATGTACACTGACAGGTGCAATTGTTTTGTATTTTGTCCTTTATAAATTGTTCTTAGGGAAATTTGTTCAACATATACCTTATGCATATATACCTATTTGCAATACACAGATAATTAACAATAAAGCCAATAAAAGTTAAATCACTATTTTTAAAAATGCTTTGAATATTTTTGTCTAAATATGTACCTATTAAGGTTGTAGTTAAGTTTTGATCCTCCTTATTGAGCTGAATATACATATTTACATTTCCAATGTCTTTTGTGTGTCTGAGATAAAATTACAAATAGTAAAAATACTTTATTTCTACATAAATGTACTGGTTCATCGATAGGCGCTGCTAAAAAAAATCAGGTGTGGGGCGGGACAAATAGAGGCAGAAGCGGGACTTAGAGCATGTGGATTTTCAGAATCAAGTGCATGTTAATATAAGGAATAACTGTCAGATTTTTTTTTTGCATAACAATTTTCAATCAATTGGATTTTGTGTTAATTTTATGCATAAACTCATTTGGTGTTTATATATGCAAATTATCATGCAAGCCAATCCATTGATCATTGTCATGATTCCAAAACATGTGACAATTATTCCTAAAGTAACTTGGATTGATTCAAGCATGGAGACAATCTATTCTCTTTTAATAGAGAGAAGTGAACAGGCCTTTGTCTACAAGTGGGCTAACCAGGAGACGATCAGCAGTTGTGCTATTGTGTGATAGAGTTATCCCTCTTTGTACACATACTTCACATACATGTACATGTAATAGTTCGGGTCAGGTAGCAACTGACTAGTGATACAAGAGTCTTAGGTTTAATTCCCAGCCCAGTCGTTTATTTGTCCTTTCTGCTACACACGTAATGAAACAGTTTTTAAAATGTTTGGTACAATTAAAGGATTGATAATGGAAATTTTCTCATTATGATTTATAGTTCTTCTATTTTTTTGGTCTTTCTATATATCTATGAGCTTTCAATTAATTCTTCTTTTCTTGAGAGTTAAAATTAAAAATAGTATCTTGATGAGGGAGATTTAAAAATAATCTTTTAATTGGGACTGGATTAAAGTTCCTCTTTTCTGAATTCTACAGGGATCAAGGTAAACTCTGTAGATAAGCTAGATCAGATTCATCACTAATTGCATATGTGGATTTACAAGTTGAAAGGGGCCATAAAAATCAAACTATAGAACTATCATTTTTGTGCCTTAGCAATTTATTGAGATTGAAATTTTAGAAAGTGCTTTACAGGCACTGACATAAATAAAGACCAACAAAATGGAAAGTGGTACTACATGAACATCTGAAAGCTTTTTAAGAACTGTAAATTTGGAGAATATTGGTGTGAAGCATTAATTTTTCTTATAAACCAAATGAGTTTAAAAAAATGAAGGAAAGTATCATGACTAAGAATGTGATACAGATATAACACAAAAATCCTCCATTAATAATTGAGTCATTCAATAACAATTTGAAAACCTGAAATCCTACAGTGGCCAATTCTGTGTGCAAATCTTTTAATGTCTATATATATGGATTCACCTCTTCTAAAACAATTTTAGACGAAAAAAAAATGGAATTTATGTTTTGTAATTTTTGTATCAATTTTCTTTGTACAATGTTTGTCACTGTGTTTTAATTCAGAACATCTTGGCCATGCAAGGATAAAATTTGGGACAAACTAATTAAGAGACAACAATTTTCTGTTTGTGAAATCCAAGTGCAAAAAATTTACATTGATCCATTCATCTTCAAAGTATGCCAAATACAAACATTTAAAATTCTCCAAGAAGTTTTTCCTTTAAAAATACATACATGTACATGTATTTAGACCCTCTATTACATCTACTCATTTCAACCAGTTCATGGGGGAAAACTCAGGAAAGATGCTAAAAAGTTTTGTCAGTAACTGAACGTTTTTTTAATTTGTCTTGTAAACCTCAGTAGGATGAAAACTTCTGTTTTCAATCTCTCCAATTACCAAACTCTGGTTTCTGTATTTTGTACATCTGTACATCAGTTTATTCCAATACGATAAATGGTATCACAATTCCAACTTGAAAACAGGAGTCATAAGAGATTTGTACAGAAAATATACTTTATTCAGATGAATACTTTTATTCAGATGAATACAGCTATAAACAACCGTAACTTGTGAGACGATATCAATTTTATACTCATTAACAATCACACAGGAAAACAAAAACAGAAGAATGCTGTGAATATTACACTTAAATGCAGAAAGACATTCCATCGTTATAAAGATTTAAAACTTGCGCGTTACACAATATTTGATTTTAATGTATGACTTTTTAATCCAACAAAAACTTTGATGCATACTCTGCTTACTAATAGTTGATATTCACAAATTTAAAACAAAAACAAATCTTCAATTGCAACAGTTTGGAAAAAAAAACTTCTTTGGGAAAATAACTAGGTTACATAACATTTGAAACAGTGTTTTGAACACTGCACTTTTATCTTTAATTATAAATAGTTGTAAGCATCAGAGGCTTGGACATCAATAGAGAGCACTTTTAATGATCCAACCACCTGTAAAAGGTGGTAAAACTCTGATTTCCGTCAAAGTAAAAAGACACAAGGGGGTAGTGTATAACAACAATATAATAATATACAAAGCCAGACCCTGGAACATAACACACAATTCTCAGTATCCTAGTATAAATCAGGGTAAAGAATGTTATAAATCATGAATGTTTTACAAACAATGCAAACTAATGAAGGGTTCCAAATGATATGCATACAAAGTATGAGAGACAAAAAAACAAACAGCAAGCATGAGAACTTGACAATGTTCCATAACTTAGAGATAACATCAGTATACACACATGAAAAACAGAAATAAATTTTCTTTATCACATCACTTTGTGATACAAGCAATTAATCAATACAAAAAAAAATAAATTGCAATTTCTCTTTAAAACCCATAGATTCGAACTTGGTATGATGTAAATACTTAGTCAGACTTCATTTCTATTTCTTAAGGATATGGACCAATTCCTGGCCTGTTTACTCTTCACATGCAGTGATTAAATAGTCTAAAAGTAAAAAATTTTTTTATATAAAGAACAGAGAGAAAGAGAGGAAAGTCAGTGGAAGCCTCTAGGTTATACAATATTTTCCTATGGCAGTAAAAACAAACCTATTATGCCAAATATGTTCTACAAAAAATGATAAGTTACGCTGATCTCCATTTGTGCATGACAAATTCGAAATCTTTCAAATCTAATAACTCTTTGATGATGAATATCTGTTATATAATAATCAAACATAACAAAGCATATAGGAGTGCTTGAATCTAATAAGCATTTAAAACAACAGATCCGTACTATACGTAACAAAAGACCGATCCAAAAAAGATAATTTAAAGTCGTAATGAATTTCCCCTTTGACCTGGTACTTATTGTTGTTGAAATGTACATGTACTTGTAGGACTTTAACCGATAACTAAATTGGCAGCACTTCTATGACACAATTGTCATACACTTTGAACAAAAGCTACCTTGATTTCCTGTTTTACGTGCTGAAAACCTTCTGTTCTCAACTTTAAATACCCTATTGGCAAATTGTCTGAACATCTCGGACTGCTTTAGCACAATACTCATAGGATATTAATTTTAATCTCTAATTTGCTTGTTTCCAATATTTTACTCTTTGGTTGTACACCACCGGGACTCAATTGTTGGTTTCAACTACTCAAACCTTACACCCTAAAGAGATTTGTACGCCAAAATTTAAAGGCATTGGCCATCTCAATTTTCATTACAAACAGAAAAAAACTTTCATAAATTATGAAGAATTTTAGAAAACTTTCTTTGTTCCTGAGTAAAGGTTTTCTAGCACTTAATTTCATCACAGATTTTGAAAGAATAAAATTCTCAGTTTCCAAAAAAGGAAAAAGTGCAAATTATCTCAACTAAAGATCAAGTGCATTCAGTGGATTTCAACACCCAACACAGAGTGCTGGTCCTCTAATGTGAATCTTTGTCTCGCTCTTCTTTGATCTTCTTGTTCATTTCCATTTGCTCCTCAGATGTAACATTTTTAGGCACAAGGAAAACATTTCCATCACTGGATTGCTGGAGAGAAAATAAAGCAGGGTCGTAGGGTCGGCCATGTTCGTCCCGTAGAGATAGGAATATTTCTCTATATAGGGCACTGTATTTGTCCTTCATGTCTCGTGTTTGCTTGTCAATCATCTGCCTTTCTGCCATAAGTCTTTCACGAGATTCCTTCAGTTGGGTCATTTCATCCTCCAAAGTGACGATCACATCCATTTTCCTTTTTCTGCAGTTCTGCGCAGCCACTTTGTTTTTGCCTCGTCGTCTAATGTCTCTGATCAACTGAAGCTGGGACTCGGACAGCTTGTGACGAGTAAGCATTTCATTAAACTCTTCAACGGGAGAGTCCACGATCTCATCCATTGTTAAGGGGACCTTGAGATCTTCAAGTCTCTTTTTGTCCCTACAATGAGGCCCCTTTTGTTTAGGCTTGTCCGAGATGGTGTATTTTTTGTATTCGCGAGGTTCCTGGCCTGGCTGCAGTGGGTAAGAATGGTTATGTCTGATATGATTTGCACTGGATGGACGGTAGTGATAATCTGTGTCGTTTGAAGATGAGGAATAGTTGGACTGGGCAGATTCTCCTCCATTCTCATTGTAGTTAAATCCGCCATTGAAACTAAACTTCCTTGGTCTCTTTCCAAAGTCTGGGGTGCCATCACCAAAATCTCCACCACCTCTTGCCCCACCTTCCATTCCATCATAGGGGGACATGGCTCCCTCACTAAACTGGTCCTGGAAATAAAAGTAGAAGACACTGTAAACACTGATTTAGTTTACTTTTTATCATAAACAATTAAAACAAAGAATATCCGACAAAATCTTAAAATTCTCGGTTATCAGATATAGAAATGAATGCCCCACAGCTGAATGCAGAAAAGATTTTTAAGAGACTTACTTGAGAAGGAGAGCCTCCAGAGCTGCCCATAGAAATTCCTGACTCACTGCTTGCATCATCAAGCATCTGCATGGAGCCCAGACCTATCAAAGAAAAATATTTCATTACTGCACAAGTAATTATGAACAGCACTTCCCTTTTCTATTTCTTAATGTTTTGTCTCTACATAAATAAGGTCTGAAAAATATCAAGTTTTAATTTCATAATTTCAAACAAAACTTTTCAATGTAAAGCTTGCAAAAACTGCAACTTTTGACTGCTTTATTTCCCCTTGATCTCATGGGCCAAACTTACCCTCTTCAATGGCCATCTCTGTAATATTGAGGTCATCCAGTCCTTCATCAATGATGTTGGAGAGGATGTCATCCACTTGGGTGGTCAGGTTAGAATTCTGTTCAGCACCAGCACTGTTGTTGTTAAACAGCATGTTGGCAGGGTCCCATTCCAATGGAGATGAACAGCCCTCGCTAGGGGGAGCAGATGTGAAATTGTTTCTCGTTTCTAAAAATCAATGTATGCATATTAATAAAATTTTAGAAGTTATACCATCGAAGAAAAAGGCATATCATGTGCATTCTAGATTATTCTTCTAAGAAAAGATAAGTGTTCAGAAAATAAACTTTGTTTTTGAATACAGAAATGACTTATATATTTAATATTTCATAATTTTTGCCATAAATTGTAGCATACAACACTGCTTACGTGGTTCAAATGTGTTTGTGTTGACAGTATTGTTGATTGGAGTGGGCATTGTGACGTTCTGAATCAAGGCATTGGAATGATTCTGTGGGGGCATCATGCCTACACTGGTACTCATATTGTTCACCATGCCGGTATTAGAATCATTACTGGGCAGCTCCAGAATGTTGACCAGGTCCATCCAGGTCTCCTCCAGAGAATTGTTGGTACCATAGCCTCTGTTGGCAGCCTGGGGGTACTGGGCTTGGGTCATGTTCTCCTGGGGGTGATAGCTACCCTGACTCTGGAAAATTATGCCCAACATATTAAACATATTAAAGAATGTTGAAATACATTTTCACTTATCAAATATGACATGCATGAAGTTTTAAAAAATTGTAAAAATTAACATCTGTTGTTTTCATTATTTCTTTTGCTTGTTTTTGTTTTAAACCATTTCTGGCATATGCATACACATTTCTAAAACTGATTGCTAAAAACTGGTTCTGCATTAACTCATATTTACAATATTACTGAAAAACTGGAATATTTTCAATGAAGTATACCTGTTGTTGAGTTTGATTGTAACTGTAATTCTGTAAGTGGTTCTGGTCTGGGGACATGTGATGTAGGGGGGACGTGATATGTGAGGGGGATGGCTGATGGGAGGGGGAGGCCAGCTGATGCTGGTAACTCTGGTTAGAGGTGGGAATGTGATAGTCATTCTCCAGCACATTTAGATGTGGCTGCATTGGGTTGCTCATCACCGGCATTCCAGTTTCATAAGATTGGTAATTCTGAAAATCGAATAAAAGAGCATTGAAAATTTGTAAAGGAAGCAAAAGTTCTTGCAACAAATAACAAAATACAAACTAATTAATCTGCACAAATGCATTTGTAAGAAAATTTCAAAATCTCAGAATCTCCTCACCTGAAACTGGTTTGTCTGATTCATACTGTGGGGGTTATTCTGTTGAATATTTGTAACATTGGGAGGGGGCACATTGGATACTTGAGGAGACATGTTTGGGGGAACCATGGAAGGGGAACTCATGGGCTGAGATGTTCTTCTCCCATTGAGTGGCACCCATTCACCTGTATGAAACAATAGTCATTTTGAAAAACTTTTCTCTAATATATAATAAAAGCAACTCTTATCGCAATGTTTGCAAATTTGAATTAGAACGAATTGTTTTGACTTATGAATTTAATCCATACATTTTTCTGTATCTTAATTTTGTTTTGTTAATGTGTCTGACCTGTTTCTCCATCCCTCATAAAATTCTCCGCCATCCATTGCTGTTCTCTGCGTCTTCGCTGCTCTTCTAGTTTGGCTTGCAATAGTTCTCTATCTTTTTGCTGTATTACACAAAATTTCAATACTTTACTTGAATGTACATTTAAATATGGTTTACATTTTTTAATGCAACTCTGAATTATTTCATCAAGAGGCTTTACCAGTTTCTATACATTTATTTATTCCAATATGTGTCTAGTACACAATCTGAACTCACTTTCTGTCTTTCCTTTTGTAGCTCAATTTCTCGTTCTCGCTCGAGTTCTCTTCGGAGATTTACGTCGAACATCTCCTTCCCCACCCCCAGATCTATGTCTTGGCGCCATAGTACGTCGATCAGGTCCAAATCCTGCAAAACACAATTCAATAAAATTTTAATTTCTCCATGGATACCTGAAACATTTTTCTTAAAATACTTGAAGCATTTCATGCATGTTTCTTCAATACAAATATAGAACTTCCAGACATATTGTTTACATAAACATTTCAATGTCACATTTATGAAATATGTGTGATATAAATTAAGTTTATATGATAAACCTATAACAATGTACACATTTAATATATATTTTCATGTGTGCCTTGGTGCATACCAATTATATAACAACACAAGGCTCTGTTTATGACATACTTGTATCAACTGACACAAAACTGTATTTAATGTCATTTTAGATTACAGGAATTATGCAACAGAAAAACCCAGGAGATAAAAATCCTGACGATTCAAGTCTCCTTATCAGAGTACAGGGCTTGCTTTATTTTTAGTCATGAAAGCTTTGAACTACAGCAGGTTTATTCAATATTCACAAGGTACTTCGAGGCATTCAGGTGTTTTTTTTTTTGACCCAGCTCAACTTAGGTATGGAAAGAAATATATATAAGAATCATAGGAAAGTGGATCATAAAACACAAACTGAACAATTTGTGTCCAAAAATTTAAATAGCATTTAGAGATCAGTAAAGTTTTAGCATGGCAATGTTAAAAAAGACCCTTTCTTGTTTTCAATAGTTGATCACAAAGAGCAATATTATTCACTGTATTCCATCCCATCCATCAAAGTCTAAACTAACAAACAACAATTTAATGAATGTCAATTTTCTATTTCAAATGCCTGCGGCACCAACCCACGGATTATACCTGTAAATGAAGGTTTGTGTGTAACTATTGTAGTGTATTAAATTGGCTCCTTCTACTGCAGTGAACTAGTTCAGTTAAACCATAGGTAAATCGGTCTAGCTTGACTGATCAAGCTCATCACATTATTATCCAATATGTAATACAACACAAGCAAACCACTGACCTCCTTCATACCAAGAGAATAAAAAAATCCAAGTTCTGGCAACAACAGTTTGACCTAAAAAACAACTCCTAGCGCTTAACTCTATTGATCTCGGCTGCTACCGCCATACAACCCGCACAGAACAATTCTCAATGTGCTCATGTAAATAAAATATTCAAAACCTGTGCTCTGCACACAGTACTTTTTTTTTTTTTTTTTTTTTTTAAATGGCTGTACATCCATTCAGAATATTACACATGATGACAAGATTCAACTTGCACATTAATGAGGAGCTCAAGTGACTATTCCCTTAGGTGATTTTCTGCTGTATTCAGAATACTTCACAACTGAACAACTTTGACAGTGGGATATCCAAAATTTAACAACCTGGGAATGTTCCTTCTTTGTCAATTATAGATTTCCTTTCAGCATAGAGTGATATTAACCATCCAAATAAACTGTCTATTAAGGGAAAAGATATTAAAAATACATACACATACCTATAAATTTTTAAATACAAAGAATTCAGATTTCAGAATAAACAGAAATAAAAATTCATATGATCAGGAATAAAGAGAATACATAAATACTGGTCCTAACATATAGCATGTTAATGTATAAATTCTTGTAAAAAATATAGAGCAGGAGGAATTTTAAATTTTATGCAGTGAAAGTCAAACAAATCTACACCCCCCTCCTTCAACATCAAAGTAATAAATTGCACTTGAGAAAACTGTTCCAGGCAATGCCCATCACCATTAATTACAGAGACTTCACATTGTAATTCTAATTACAGGCTTGTAGGATTTTGATCCTAATCTCCAAGACCTTTAAGAAACCCTCTGGAGTTCCTCTTACATAATTTAATCCACTTTTTCTGATTATTTGCTATTGTTATGACCAAGGTCAAATAATTGTATATTTCTGTAGCATTTCAATTCTGTTACTGCTGACAATATTTCTTACCCCTGACAAAATCATAAAGAATACATAAATACATTCTCATTCCATAGGTGCACTCTGCTAACATTTAGTCTAAGAGTGAAACTGAATAATCTCAAAAAATATCCATGCAGAGTTTAAATATCTTATAAATCAAATTATATCAGGAAAAATGCAAATTTAAAAATAACATTTTTAGCTAGTCTTTTTCAACATGTTCAACTTTTCCTTTACAAGTACCATATTTATCTTGGTTTAAGAAGATAGTCATGCCAATATTGGCAGGAATTAGTGAAGTAATTCCTCCAGTCATTTTAGAAAATGGAAAATTACTACAGTAAAACCTGGTTATAACAAAATCACACAAAATTACTTCACTATATCCATAATTTGTTATATCTGTATACGGAATTTGCTGAATAACTCGAACTAAAGAAGTTTTACTGTATTATCATTCTAGCATGTTTATTAAATAGAAACTTTGCCAGCTCAAACTAGAACTGTCCAATAGGGACGAATACCCCCCGCTGGGTTTTTCAGAGAATGTGCCAATTCAAAAATACTTTATGGATCTAGAGGTGTTCACAATTTACTTACAAAAATTTGCAGTGAAATATAATTGCTCATCATGTTTCTTAATGAATGAAACAAAGGTGCAACCAAATGAAACATCAATACTAATACATTGTAATTCCATTGTAACATTATTTTTTTTATTTAATTTTTTTATTTCTGCATTAAAAAAATATATTGCAATTATGTGTTATGTCACTCTGCAAACTGATTGTTGAAAAAAAAAATCATATTATACAAAATAATAAAGAGCTGGTCATCCAGTAATGAAGTGCTTTGACAGACAATAAATTACAATTAAGAGAATAAGAGAAGAGAGATCTTTAATTCTTGTGCCTGATTCCCAGGAGATTACACATGGTTGATAATGAGATGCCTTAATGTTCAACTTTCCACACCAAACTCATTAATTTATCTTAAACTGGATGCATGTCCAGTCATTATTCCCAAGAGACAAATGAAATTACATTATCTTCTGTGCAATGTAAAAACTGTTTTTAGCACTTGATGATGTTTTTTTTTTAAGTTTATATGAGTAGTTTTAAGCTGTAGTATTTTTGTACAGATATTCTAGATTCTATGTCTCAAACCTTATACATGAGCCCAAAATGAACAAGTCAATTAAAATAAAAAATAAAACCTGTAAAATGCAAAAAAATGAACAAAAAGAGTTGAAAATTCCAATTGCACACCTTCATATGGTGAATAATAAGTGTACAAATTTTAAGATAAATCCTTGCAATGGTTTCTGAGAAACAGTCTGGACAAAATCACAAAATAAAAATGAAAAAACACCTGTAAAATTCAAAATAATAATCGAATCAAGATGAAAATATCAGGTGCACAACTTCATATGGTGAATAATATTTGTACAAATTTTCAGACAAATCCTTCCAATAGTTTCTGAGTAATGGTCCGGACAAAATCTCGTCTATGGTGATTCCAATATACCCCCCCCTAAACTTCGTTTGCGGGGGGTATAAAAACATGCATAACTAGCTGATTACTACGGCTGTCCTGATAATACTGACATTCCAGTGTATTGTAATTTGTTGACTGAAATATATCAGATACATATCAGATACATTATTTTGCTTGGGTTTGGGATATCTCAAGTCAAATATGAAAATTAAGATGTCAGAAACATTTTCTATCATTCTTAACAGTTAGTAAGGTTGCTGTGATCAAATCTATATTCATTAACCTTATAAATGAAGATTAATAAATTTCAGAAATTCATCTTTTTATATGGTACTGTTATGAAAATATTCCCACATATATATAATCAATCTACCACTAACTTTCAAGATATACTATGTTTTACAGATTTAGTATTCGAAACCTTTTTATAATATCCATGAACCCTATCTATGAACTTATTAATAAACTGTAATACTGTGCTTTACTGACAGCAAAATGAGCATAAAGGGATAACAATGAACTAGGAGAAGAAATAAATGAAGCAGATGGAATTTTACACTAAAAAAATTCTGACAATATATTTAAACACATGTGCCAGTTGAAAACAGTCGATAAAAAAGTCACCATACTGTTGGTTTTTACAAGCAAAATTTGAATTGGTATTAACAGTAAATAATTACCTGGTAACAATTCATTCTTAAGCCTACTGATGCACAATTTATTTATTTTCACTCCTAAATACACTAACAGTCTAACACACAAAATTTTAATACATAAATTCTTAATTTTTTTCATTTTTTGGGTAGATAATTTTTTTATACTCATACCCAACAAAATGGACACTTGATATATTAATTAATTTTGCTTTAGTGCGTAAAGAAAAATATTTAATTTAACTTTACAGTGATATGGAGAAGATTTTGTAACAGACAAACTATTTATCTTATATATCTAATAATCTGACTACAACTATATAATTAAGGATCATATGACTCATGACTGAAGACATAAACTAGTCTTATTTTCCTTGACAATTCCCCCACATTCTAGGAAATCCCATCAACAACCACGCCATAAAAATAGAATAAAGCTACACCCATGACACTTCCTCAAAACGATTATCTCTAAGAAACACAACTTCTAAACTTTAAAATTACCTTTTTAAGTATTAAGCTTTTGAACATTATTTTTACTACAGGAAAAGTTTGTTATCTTTTTATACATTGTTACATTTATTAAAGTGACTTTAAAAGTCTTATGATATCTGTTACTTTTACTTCTGCAATCATGATTGTACTTGCCAAAATATTCTTACACATAACATTTATTAAAATTGTTTCCACACATTATCCAATGTTGTTCTGCCTGTTTTAATGTTTTTGAAAGCTTTACAACAATTTGAATATTTTTTAATAGTACTGACTACTGAAGCAGTCTTTCCAAGCTATAGCAGAAAGTAAGACAAATAAACCTATTCCACATGTTATCTGGTTAAAATGAAGTTAAAAATACTTCACTTCTTGTATTTATTTTTTTTAAAAATCTCTTTAAAACCAATCAAATGCAATACTTGTCATTATTGCACAATAACTCAACCTTTTCAAATACTGGAAAAGAGAAAATCACTGCTCATTCATGATTCCTAACAATTTCCAGTTAATTGTCTATGCTAACTATTATAAAATAAGGTTATCATGGTTATAGTCAGAAATATAAAGACAGATATATACATTTAAAGAGGTCAAATATAAGGAATACTTGCCAGAATTTTGTACATGTATAAGGAAAATTTCTTAGAAGAAATGAGAAAGCTCAAAATGCTCCATTTACATGTATATACCTACTGACAGGGTGTGAAGTTTGCATAAATTCTAAACAAACTATCCACAGCAACAAAGTCAAGATCAAGGCAATATTTACCCGAAAATGTATAACACAATACATTAGTTGAACTACAGATCATTTCAGAGAAGAAAATTGGGGGGGGGGGAGTTCAACTTTTATTACAGTACTGGCATTTCAAACATATCCTATATATCAATATTCATTTAAGAATACATAACTATGAATAGGTCATCAAAAACAAGAGGAATAAATGCAACAGGCCAACAGCTTAAGAAAACCACTAACACAGACAGTCAGACTGTCGGAAGGTAAAACTTTGCTTCAACCAAGATCGAAGTACAAAATCCCCACAATGCAAATATGACAATTAGAAACTGATTCTAATGATACATCTGGCATATTCTGCAGCATAACACTTTCAATGTGTTTAAATACATCTGATAATCTGAGCATGGTAAGAATAATTGGGAGAAAATAATCTAAGAGAATCTACATTGTATGCTATGAATGACAACACAATTCATGAACTGATGTACACTTTCACCTCAAAAGAAGGATCTACTGCTAAAGGGTTTTCTGCATTCACTTGAACTAGAACAACTTCTTCATTTTCTTGAGACACTGCATTGTCCTCCTCTTGTGCATTTTCAGATGACTGTTCTGTTGTTGCAGACGCACTGTCATTATTTTCCACATTCGCAGATTGCGTTTCTTGAGAATTTGTCAAAAGATGACCTCCTCCATTAGAAATTCCAACAAGAAATGTGGTTATTCCTTGTTGTCTTGCAACTTGATGACTAGCAAAACGACTTAATGAACGGAGATCCTGTAGAATAGATGCTTCATTTTCTAAAGTTTTCAAATGGTCATAACCTGAATAATGGTTTTCAAAACTACTTCTATGAAAATTTGTCTGTGTATACACAGCTGTCTGTCCAAGAATTAGCTCTTGAACTTCCGGATAGTTCACATAACTGGTGTTCAAGTAACTATTGAGATCAATACGCAACAAACTAAGAACAATGGCAATCTGCACTAAACCGTCTGTGAAATACTGTTTCAGTTGCATTTCGCACAATCCTTTCCTTTGAAGTTAATTCCTTCTTTATTTCTCACCCAGAAGTTAAACGATTATCACATTATTTTTTGTTTCAGATACAAGTAAACAAAGCAGATTTCCAAGATATGGCGACCATGTTCCCACCGCACGTGCGACGACGTGAAAACTGTTTTGGTAGACTTATCATGTCATTTTGGGTGATAGATGTGCTGGAACCTTGAGAATAATTGGTAAATGTCGAAAAAAGAGTTCCTAGATATGATGTAATGACTAGAATATTCCTTCAACAGGAAGCGGACACCATTTGCCATAAAACCTGTGAACATGCAGAATTGAATGTGACGTCAGAAATGTCGATGTGCGCATGAGCGTAATATCCAAAGTGAAGGTCACTTCCGGGTCAAGATGGTACACATTTCTGACCAAAATATTTGACAAGGTGGCGAAGGGTAGCAGAAGTTGAAAAACTATCTGAACATTGTTTATTGATTACTATTTACAAATGTAGATTCACTCAAATAATCATTTTGAACCCAGCTGACACAAATCGAAATAACCCAACGAGATTCTCAAACAACAACCTATATTCTCCTAATATTATATATTACAACAGCAAATAACTAGGTTTTGGACAGTGTCCAAATAATATAGGGACAAATAAAACATGACATATAATGCTGAAGCTAAAAAAGATATACAAACCCCGTTCGCCGGATTGTTCATGTGAAGACTGACAGGTTGTGTTTCCATCATCTTGTACAACAGGTGCCCCAATAGCCGTGTTTCAGAGCACTCACACTAAAATGTTTTTATACTTTCACTGAAATATCCACAACAAAAAGTTTAAAACTTGAATTTTACTCCATGTGAATAAAATTTTATGTGAAACATAGTCTCCATCAATTTAATAGAGTTGATCACTAGCTACTGATTTACATCAACACATTATTCCTCGATATTCCATGATGTGTGTGTATTGAAATGTGCTAATGTATTTAACCTGCTGTGCGAGCGATACGAGCGATTGGCTGAGCATTAACCATGTGACTGTATAGGTAAAAAAGGGCCGTATCGCAGATTAGATTTCGTCGAGACTAAAGTTTAAAATTGTTTATTATAACCTTCACGTATCCTCTTTGTTTTATCTTACAAGGAAGACGAAAATTAATTCAATAGAAAGAAAAAAAATAATGATATGTGAACCGTGCTATACATTTTTTAAAATTACTCATTAGTGCACATAAATATTTTCATACTTTGAAGGAATGCTAACTTTCGGTTTGTATAAATTTTCACACTCTATTGAAAAAGTAAATTTAAAAAATTCGTTCAATAATCTTAAATCCACAAAGAAAAAAAAAAGATAAAAAGTTGGAGAGACAAATATTTATAAACAGCTTTAGTAATGCATTTTTGGTGGATGATAATTTCACTAATTTTCATAAATAATTTTCAAAAATATGCATGATAACTAAACAGGTTAAGTGGACTCCCAGTATCATTTCTAATTATATGCAGATCTGACGCAGTCCGACAAATTCCCCCTCTGTTTACGACAAGGATAATTTGTATCTTTTTGCATACGTTTAAAAAATATTAATAATTTCTTGATTAATCATATTAAAGTAGAATATATAAAAAGTACAACTACCACATATATAGCCACACGATGTTTCATCAATATTTAAGTAAATGCAAGCAGAATGACAAAAATATAAATAAGTACACCTATGCAGATTTCAAATTTTATTTAACATTATGCATGATTATTGTATGTAAACGTACCCAACATAGAAGTATCAATTAATGTACATGTATGTGTCTTTAAAAAAATCACGCCCTGAAACCTGACTAATCTACATATATAAGGGGGGGGGGGGCTATATGAGAAGTGCTTTAAAGTATATACGTTGAATGTTTCGTAACATTTGAAAATAATTACTAATGGCTTTCTTTTGTGAGTTACATCATAGTAGCAAGGTCAAAAGAATATCACAAATTCAAAAAATAGTAATCCTTGTATTCTGTATTGATTGTATCTGTTGAGTTTTGCACGACAGCCTCCCTGCCCAGTTTTTGCCTTAAGAAACCACTGACCACGGTGACCAGAAGGGTCAAACACAGATTATTTATTGTGACATTTATTTCGGAATCCGACAATGCTATACACCAAACACGTACATGTATAAATAGGATCCACATGTAAGTAAAAGGCCGAGCTCACACGAATTTCTGAACATTAAAATTGTTAAATATCACATTTATAACTTCAAAATTGTTTCAAATGTTTAGCCTAAGCATAAAATTTCAATTATTGTAGTATATTATTTATCTATGTAAGCAAGTCTTAACTAGAAGTAGGAGATCAAAACAGTAGAAGAGAAAGCTATATTACTTTTGTGCCCCCTCAACAATTTCCCCAAAATATAACATACCACGTAAAACAAAGCTAAGAATTTTTGTAAGTCTCGCCCCCCCCCCCCACCCCTTCCCGAAAGAATGAAATTTCTCTCTTATGACCCGAATGCTTGTTTGAAGACATTTGCATATATAATTAAAATATACAAACTGCACATGGTATTCCTTATTTTTTAAGCATCTGTATTTTAATTAAAATATTTTTATTTTACAGAAAATTAATATTCGGTTTATATACTATTAAAATGTCGTTTTTGCAAGTGTTACGTCAAATCCACGAGTAAGCAGTCATTTAACAAGCAACGAATTTTAAATAAAGTTCACTACATGCAAATTTTGGTAAATTAACGTAATTAAAATGTTTATTTCGTCATTTTCCATGTATATTAAATCTATGAATATAGAAATATTTTTTTTTTACAAAATACATACAACATGAATGTATATGCTAAAAATTAACGTATCATGCAACGAATGCACATAACATAATATCATTTATTGTCTAGCTTTTTTTCTACAGATTAACAAAATACAATAAAGTTCTTCACAGACATCCTTTAACCAATATCAGCAAAGAAATTCGTACATACATGTGTATTCATCATTGTCATCGTATTGTTGACTGATATTAAAAAATTCGAATTGCAATTTTTGACAGCAGGGATGAACTAAAGGTAAAATGTTTAACTAGTATCTATTGAAAAACTCCAATGTCTCGCCATGTATTTGAATAATGATGCATTTTTATGCAAACTTACGATGCACTTTAGAGGTAAAATACTGGCTAAAGTGGTTTAAAATGTCTGAATTGCTCATCCAACATTTTTTGATCATATATATTAAGCAAGAGTTCGAAATGGCTCTTCCAAAAAAAAGTTACTTGAAAGTGAGTAATTTGCTATAAATGGAAAAAAAAAAAATAAAACAGCATTCAATCAAAAGACCCCCCCAAAGAAAATGGTGATGTTATCCCCCTTGAGATAATTTTCGTATAATGGGTTTTAAAAAACTAATATACAAAGAAAATGGTGATGTTGCCATCAGACCAAAACTGTAGGAGGAGTAGCGTTTTAAAGGAATTTCACAGAAATTTCTATGTGTAGTAACCATGGCAACACCCATCAAAATCAAAAACCGAGATAATTTTCGTATATATGTGTGCCAAGTTATATTGAAATCAGGTTTTAAAAAAATTTCTATTTTTAGCCATGTTATAAATCAAAAACCAATGCACTATTTTATGTAATTTGTGCCAAGCTATATAAACCATGTATAAAAGGAATTTCTATTTTTAATGGCAACACCGTTCATCAAACACAAATGATCATTTTACACCACAAAACCGTATTTTACATAAATTTCTATTTTTATATTAGTGCAATAATGTTAAGTTATATTGAAATCGGACCAAAACTGTAGGAGGAGTAGCGTTTTAAAGGAATTTCACAGAAATTTCTATTTTTAGTAACGATGGCAACACCGTTCATAAATCAAAAACCGATGCACTAACATTGATTCCAAGTTATATTGAAATCAGACGTTAGCGTTTTGATTGTTTACAACTCTTTAATTATGGTTTTTTCGCTAATAAACGATATAATTCTTAAAACACAAATGATCATTTTACACCACACGTATCAAATATTAGTGCAATAATGTTATACTGTCCACAATCCAGATCTAGAGTAACATTGATTCCACTCGTTCATTCAACTCTTTAATTATGGTTTATGGAGATCCTTTCTCTGCTCAAAAGATAACACATTTCAATCTGTAGACAACACTCAAAAGATAACACATTTCAATGTTATAATATCATATCTCTGTATCACTTGTCACTCTGTCTGCAGCATGATCAACGCGTAAAAAAAATACTGGAAGTTCTTCATCTGAGGACAGATAAAAGCTACCAGGTAACATATAGGATGATGTTGATTGTACGTGATGTACAAATAATTTTTCACTGTCAACCTATAAATTAAAATTAAGATCCCAAATAACAAGGTAGATACTGACATATATAATTATTGTCCTTTATTTATTTACATGTACGTGCATTTACTGGTATAGTTTTTTTTTCATCCCAAGACCTGTTGCAACCATCAGTGTAAAAATTACCTTAAATGTAAAAAATAATTTACAGATCAGTTGAATATAAATTTAAAGATGCAAAATAAAGTATAGAGAACTCCCTTTAACAAGTGCGGAGAAAAGTGCAAAAGTTAGCTCTTTATTATGCCGACCCCCCCCCCCCCCTTTCCCCCAATGTTTTAAAACATTTTAAAAATTTTTAAGAAAGAATCCTCATAAAAGATATGAAAATTCCCATCTGTATTACGTTTTGAAAGGCACTACATGAAACTCCTCGAAAAAAGATGCAAAACATGCAAAGAAATATTTTTAATATATTATATATTGTGTATTTTTAAGTTTATCAAAGATTTTTTTTAATTTTCTGTAATTCTTTTTAATGATAAAAAATATACTATATCACTCATTTTCAAAGGGTTATGCGTCAGGAAAAAATATCCACGATTTGTTCTTAATGTAAAGAAAAAACCCATAATAAAAACTGTTAGTCTCTGCAGATATCTAAGCTCTAGTAGTCTTAATTAAGTCGAAATCGTCTTGAAAAAAAAGTTTATTGAA